TCTTTATCCGATTGAGATTGTGAAATCGTAAGAGGGAAGTGACGACATAAATAACACAAAACGGTATTCAGTATAAGTGAATACTCCAATCAAGGATATTTATTATACCAACTGAAAACAACGTTTTTTACAAGAAATAATTGTAATAATAATTAAAAATAAAAACGTTAAACATATATATATATAGCACCTGATCAAGGGTGCTGTCATAATGCCTGAAACCCCTTATAAATACGCTATTGTCCAAATGTTCGTGTATATAATTTCTACGGTTTGTATTTTTGCAGTAACTTTTTTATGATTAACACATGTGTTTCAAATTTGTACTTTTCTTGCCGTACTTTAGTGTCGAAAAATGATCCGAAACCTATATTTGTCAAAACTTCTATTTTTTTTAAATTGATTATTTCATTTTTTTTCTGTGATAATATTTAATATGCATTGCTGAAACTAAATAAATAATTATCAATAATAAATGGACAATATTTCAATAATCAATTTATTATACAATGAATAAATTTAGCCCCCTTGGTCCAATAATTTTTATGATAAATCAATAATATTAATCAATTAAATTTATACTGAATAAAAAATTAAACTTGTATTATTTTTCTAGTCAAATTTACAAGATAAATTCAAATAAAGAACTGGGGTGTAAATACTTAAAATTATTAAAAAAATTTTAACACCATGTAATTAACACATTGATCAAATTAAAAATTAAAATAAAAAACAATTAATATCGATCTATAAATTGTCTTGTAATTAAAAGTTTTTGATAATTACATAATTAATATTTGTCTGAGTAATTTTAAAATTATATAATCACTTTCTACGCTGAAATACTACAAACTACATATTTGATTATAATAATAGACCAAATTTCGTGTAACATCGTCCCGAAACTAAATTATAGAAGTAAAAATATTCATATTTTCCAATGGAATAGTTTTTTTTAATAATTATTTTTTGATAGCATCCTCCTATATTTAGCAACTTAAACTATTAAACCCCTTCTAGGGACAAGCCTGGTTGTGCGACCAATAATCAATTATTTTTCGAATTCAAATTTTCAGAAAATATTTTATTTTTATTTATAAAAAATACTAGAGGGTATCTGATTAGAATTCTTGTGATACATTTTTTAGCCCTCTATATATTATATATATATTCTTGTTGTTATAATTATAAATTTAGCCATTTCATTATATTAAATAATAATACTTAGGTTCACTTTCAAATCGTTTTTCAATAGTTCTATTATGTTGTTATTCGCTTTAACCCTCGTCTGAATAAGACAACTTGTATGTAATAATATCATAAAACAATATTGTCGTAGAATAATTTAACACACAAAAAATAAGGTAGAGTGTTTATTGAAATAACATCATCACGATACAATTTACAACTAAAAAATCTAAAGTAAAAATCATACACTTTAATTGTTTGTTATAATAAATTGTTGTAATAATTGGTTTTATTAATCAAATTAAATGAAATATTGATTAAAAAAAAATTTATTAGTAATATAAAATACGCTAGCGCCTTTCTTATGATTAATGATAATGAATGACTATGTAACGTGTTATCTACAAATAATCTGAATTAATTAATATTAGGCTTCGCAAATTTTTTTACCATATTGTTATATAATATGACTGAAATTCGGTATGATATCGATATCCAAATATCGTTGACAAACCCTATTATTGATTGATAGAATCTGTACAAAAGTGTAAAAATTACTATTAATTGCTATATAATCATCATATATTTGTAGTAATATTTGAATATCAATTTCGGATTACCAAATGGAATCGTGAAATGACAATAAAGTACCTGAATCATTACTTCAATTAATTGAATAATGTGTTTTGGATTTATTCCCAAATATTTGTATTCTGTTACAAATATTTGCTACAATTCCTATAAGTGAATTGCAATAGAGAAGCAATCATTCTCTAGTTTCAAACGGTTTATGATGTGGTACATACAAATATGGGAGAGAAACGATTTACCGGACTTGTTACGCTTAATATTCGTCGTCATACTGACATCGATATTGATGATATCATAACAAGATTCAATGAGAAAAAAGAAATTCAGTGGACGATCGAAAGAGTACAGTGAGAATGATTAAGTATATGCCAATTATTTTCTCAGAAACTAATAAAGTTCATAAAACTCTATAATAAATTGCTGTAAAAATTATTTTTTTCGTCCCTTTAGTGTTAAAAAACCTTAACTTTAATTTATTAAATGGGACTTTATTTAATTTGATTATATGATAGAAAAAAACAAACAAACAATTGTAACTTTTTTTTCGATAGATCGTTTGTCTGTTACAACTTATTAAAGTTATTTTAAATGTTAGAAATTTAAAAAAAAGAATATTCAAAGTCCAGTTGTGAATTGATAATCGTAGGGAAACCCCAATTCACATAAAATTATTCAAGAGTTAGATTATTGCACAAAAATACACTGTAAAATAAAGTGATAGTGCCAAACTAACCGGTTCGTGTGATCGCGGTAAGAGAAATGAACGGACTGAAAGCTTGATGAATGGTAAGTAACAGAGCAGGGCCAACAGGACTCTTGGCTCTTTTATAGTAAACCATGAGATGTATCAATTAAGTTTAATGTCATAATAAAAGTTACATAGACGAAAAGAGTGTCCTTTACAATACGGCGTAAGATGACCAGAGGTATTGTACCTTTAGTTGTTTAGCATATGGCAACTAATAATGATAAGCGATATGCTGGCTACTGTTAATTTTTTACGAAATTGCGTGAGTTTTTTATTGCTTGTTCGTTCGGACAGGGCTTTTGTAAACAAGAAATTACTGATTACGCGTCTCAGCGACGTCAGTGTATTTTTGTTTGGTTTAACTAAAACGTATGGATTTTTTAAAAGTGCCAAAAGGCCAATACTACAACACCTAGTGGCGCGGGTGAATATCGTAGCCCGTTTCTAAAGGACTGGTGGGACGCCATCAAGTGAAATAATATGCCCTGAAAGGAAATTAGGTCCGAATTACTCGAGGCGTTCGACAGCACCGACTTCCAGAAGGTGCTGGAAACGGAATTAAAGACGACGCGATAGGGGCCCCACGACTAACGTTTACCGAGTTTATTATTCACAAATAACAAAGAACAATATTTTATATATATATATAATTGATTACTATTTAGCTAATATAATATAGAATAAATTGTCTTCTAACATATCTTACTGACGCTGGGGATCTATTTTTAAATGTTATATTGGTGTACTAGTTTGTTTAATATACTAAAACACGACGTCTTAGTGCAACTATTAGTGTGAACTAAAATTACAGTGAAACTACTGACATAAACATAGACTGTTCTAAAGTGTAATGATAGAACAATAATACAGAGCTGCATTTACAATTAAAACAAAATGTTAAAATGTTGTAAAGGTAATAAAATACAAGAAACTTAATGATATTCTCTAATACTCTTCATCTGACAATATAATTACAATTTGTGAGATAATCACCGTATAATAACAAAAATGACTATCAACAAATTATATTAATTAATTAAAACAAATTTTTAATTATTATTTCAAAAGTTTGTAACGTCACTATTATAATATGAAATAACAGTGGGCTACTAGTACCCATAGTAATAGTTTTACATTTAATCTTTTCATTAAGAAATTCATAAACTATAATTGTCAGCTCTTTTTACTTTTATCTTAATAATAAAACACAATATGTAAAACCCTAAACTTATATATATATATAAACAAACTATACTGACGTCATATAAAACATCAAAGTGATTTGTATATTATTCGAATGTATTAATTAATATATTTTATGTATTAATTTATATATTTGATGTTATTTATATATTAATTTCTTTATTTTTATGATTACTTTTCAATAAAATAATAACATTGCAAGAACGAGACAATGGTGATTATATTCGGGGATACAAAATACTATAAAAGGCAGTCAGCAGTCCTAAGGGCTTGAGAAAGTCTATCTCCAGATACTCAAGATTCTGTTCCTATCGTATTTTCAACATCATCACGCATAATTTATAATCATCATTGTGGAATTTTTCAAGTGTTAAAGTAGCAAACTGAATTGATTTGTACTTAATTATTAATTAATATTGATAATAAAGATATTGCAAGAAATGGGAAAATTATAAAAAGGTAAGATTTTAAAAGTCAATAAGAATCTAAATTTATGTCATTTTATAACCTTTGAACAACACCCCGAAATAAAGTAACTCTTTTCTTTTAATCGACTCACTCACATAGATATCCCCCCCTTTTCGTTATATTTTGATTTACGATAAACGTCACGAATTCGTAGGTGAACCGTTTATAATTTTTGTTATGTCTATTTATCTGTTTTTATATCATCACGCTAGAAAATGCGCGAATAAACCTTTTTCTGACACAGTGGTATCAACAACTCATTATTTATTTCATTTTATTTTATTTAAAATTAACTTAATTTATTTATGTGTGGAGAGCACGTGATTTCTCTTTCTTCTAGCTAACGCTAAGGAGCGAGTGTCCAGACCTTTCCTGGTGTTTTCCATTAATTTCTGATTAACATTAACGAACGTGTTGCAAGAATATGATGTTAGTTATATTATTTGATTTTGTTTAAGTATTTATTTTATTTTTGTTGTCAGCCTTTCTTTGTAAACATGGTTTTTGATATATTTGTCTTTTTGTCCATATTTTACTTAATTTTCTATTTTTAACAATTAAATTAATCTTAACTGTAATATTTATTTTATTTCTATTCCTTGATCTAAAAACGGGCTACGGTATGTTTTCCATATCAACTGCATACAACTTCAATTATTATAATTTTGGTTAATAAACCAAAAGTTGTAATATTACTCCATATTAAACTATTAAAAATTTATGTGTATGTTTAATCGTCATAAAATTAAATTTTTAGAGTTTTGAAATATCTATTATATATATTGTGAATAATAATAATAATTATAAAATAATGTTTTAGAAAAATCATCTATACTTATTTATTCTGATGAAAATTATTGATAAATATATATTTATTTATACTGAACAATAAAATTAATAGTTTATATAACATATTCAATAATTAATTTTAAATTTTCAAAAACTTCGCAAAATTTTACTCTTTACGTTTATTGAGTTATTTGGCTTTATTCATTTATTACAGGAATTTTATTATATTTAATATCTAAAAAAAAAAAAATATTACAGTTTAAACTCGGTATAGTAAGGACAAGACATATTTGAATCCATATTTATTGAAATTTGACGGTCATAAAAAAATACTAAAATTACTGTCATAAAATGTTTTGATGCGAACAAGATTAAGAACCTTTTTAAAATGTACCTTACAGAACCAGTTGTGACGTAAAAAATAAAGTCCTGAAAACTTAACCAAGACGTCTAATTTATGTTTTTAAAGAATCCTACATAAACTAATACTTTAAAGGTTCCGAACATTAGTTTATTTTTTATAGCTATTTAAATTTATCATTTGTGAGTTAGTTGTTGATATTGTGATGGCATTAGTCTTTGTACCCTTGTAAAATAATTATTATTAAGGATGGAAAAATTGTATTTTTCGATAAAATCATATTTACAATTATGTTACATGTTTACTAGAGAGTTAATAAAATACATTTCTATATTATAGTTTTTTATAATTTCTCCGTAAAAATTACAATACTGAATTGTTAATATGTAAATAGTAAATTATAAAAAATAAAATCAGGACATAATTATGGTAATATAAGTTAATGTTGATTTTAGAATGATCCAACAATTTCTTCTAAAAATTAATCAGTATCCAATTATTTTGTATTGAATCGTTTTTTACTATAATGTTTTCAATCACTGTCAGGTATCAGATATACAGTTTAATAGATAATATTAAAAGTATTACCTTAGTCTGAATTATGTTTATACGTTTATATAAATATTATATTTCAATATCAACTCATAAGTTTGAGATTTCCATGCACATAAATTGCCATGCACAACGTTGCCATATAAAATCTCAAAGTTCCGAATCGTAGGATGACAATGTACTTAAATAAACTTTGTTGAAGTTTTATAGTGATCATTTATTTACCAGGAAATAGTTTGGGCTTCATAAAAGGATAGTACTTAAAGTATTATTTTGTAAAAAAAAGTAAAGTTAAGTTAAGTAGATAATATTTCCTGTCGCTAAAATTGACAAGTTTTTTATAATTTGTTTTGGTTTTATTCAAATCCCTTTTTTGGTTTTTTGTTAATTTTCAAAAATAGTGTTAATCTTAAAAAAGACAAAACTTTTTTTATATTACTCATCAAAATTTCGATTAGTTTTTTAAATAAAATAAAATTTTTTATTATTCAGCCGTTTTTAAAAATTATTACTTAAGATATTTTCGATCATAAAAGAAATTAAAGGCTTTTTTTGAAACTTTGGAAGGTAATATTTTTAACTAGATATAACTTGGGGTATTTACGTATAGTTAAGTAAAACTTATCTGATAGGAGCTTAGAAAAATTCATGAAAGACAAAAAAAAAATTCTATATCTTAGTAAAATTGATAATTCCTTAGGTTCGCATTGAAGCTAAAATAAATTTTCACGAAAAATATATTTATAATACAATTTTTAACAAATTGTATATATATATACCTGAAATTTTACATTTTTTTTTGCAATTCTTACTGTTTCCTTCCGCTATACAACCTTTACAATGTTTTTCTTTACAACATGTTTTTTCATACATAAATCCCTTCTTAAATGTTGCGTTACAAGAAAAACAAACTAAATTGAAGAAATATAGAGTAAAAATATAAAATCTTTAACATTTAAATATTAAATAATTTTATACTTACTATAAAAACCTATAAAAATAAAACTAAGATTAATCTAATAAAAAATTAACAATCTATTTGTCGGTTTCATTAAAACAATGATTTAAACATAGAATAATATTTAGATTAGTTAATATCACGCTCAAAAAGTTTGATAAAAGAAACTTTTTTTTATATTAACAAAAATTTGAATGTAACAAAACATACCATCTACATTTTTATCGCATTTGGAGCATTTTTTATTAATATTGTATATATTCATAATATTATCATAACATTCATTGCAATAAATACTTGAGCAACATTTTACTTTAACAACTTTCTCGTTAAATAGATTATGACAAATGCAGCACACTGAGAAAACAAAAAATTATAATATATAAAATGATATAGATTTTAAATACTAAATTATAGTGTGATAACTGTATTAGCTACTATATATTGCTTAAATAAAGTAAACTACCCCCATTTTTTTGTTAAATAATAATTGTCTCGTAAAAATATATAGAATAAAATTTAATTTATTATTATAAACCGTTTTAAATATCAAGTTTATAGTAATTAACCTCTTGAGTTTAAATATAATACCGCTAGTCATAGGTATAAAAAAATTTCAAATTAAATATAATAAAATAAAGCACAATACACATATTATTATTTTAAAGGTCGCAGTAGAAAATAGAAATGCAAATAATAATAACAGCGATTATACTAATATAGTAACTCGTGTAACGACAAGCGTACACGTAGTTAATTCTAAAAATAAATTACCCAATCTAGTAATATACTAATATTTGACCGTATGGACGACGCTGCCGGTCGTCCAAACATTGCTCGTGTGTGGATGCGTACCCGCATATCGAGCGAAACAATTTTGACGCCGCCGGAATATTACCATGGGACTGATTGGATATCACCCGGGTCAAGATTGTAATAAACCGGCCGTGCTGTGCTTCCCTAAAGTGCACATAAACAAAACACGAGATGCCTTATCGGCGACCGTCGGCGTTGACATAAATACCAATCGAGTCTGGCGGCCGTCGATCAGTCTGTGATAACACTATAGTTATGTTTTTACACTCGTGTAGTATAGTGCATAATATACAAGATAAGATATGTCGTATCTTATTTACAAACGAATTCTAGTTTTCTTTTCGTTATTAATATTAATTTTATTTTATGATTAATTGTAGTCATCGTTTACCGCGATAATTTTAATGTTCGCACACGACAATGTATCATAACTATTTTACTATTTAGAAATTTGCATTTTTAATAAAAAGGTAGAATTAAGAATACACAATTAATTTTATACGATTGTCCCGTCGTCCATACCATGAGCCGCCACTGAATCTGAGTATTAAGTTTGTTGTGTCACCACCACTTTATTAAATATTTATCTTTGCGAATATACATGTTTATAATAATCCGCATGCGGATGTCCCCTTGATTTCTTTGTATGACTATTTTGCAGCAATAGTCAGTCTAGTGTCTAGTGTCTACCGTTATAGGATGAACATTATAATTGTAAAGCATATTCTTATTTTTGAAGTGTTATTATGAAAGTTTACTTTATATATATATATATGTATGTACATTTATAATAATTGTTATATTTCTCTTGTAACGTAATATTTTTCGTATAATACATTTTACTATTTATAACCAGTATTTCTATCCAGAGCGTTAAATTTATTTCTTTATAAATAATCACTATTTCCTATATACATCTTGGAGGACTCTGTGCGGATAGCCCAATAGGGAATCCAGACGGTAACCCGAACAACAAATAAATATTAAAATTTCCTCAGGCGAGCCTTACAGGTCCGCCACAAATTTAGAAAAATAATTTATTAATTGGGTAAATGAAATTTAATTGAATTTTATCAAGGGTCATAATTTTTTTTTCCTAAATTATAGTAAATTGACCGGTATAACTAAATAAAAAATAATAATTTTGTGAATAACTCGCTAAAATACGTACCATTTTTATTATTTTCTATTTCTTTACTTGTATCTGTAATGAATAATGAAATAAAATGGTTAAGACTGTTGTAATTATTTTTAAATTTTTATTGTGCATGAAATAATAAACGTAAAATTATTTATTCTTTTCTTGTAATTAATATTTATAATATTTTCTTTAAAGTACATTGTGTTAGCTTAATTGTATTAATTTAATGTAGGCTTAAAGAAGGTAGGTTATTTGAATCATCATAAAAAATTTAAAAGAAAAAAATTTTATATGATTCTTAAGCTCTTAAAGTATTTAAATTAATGTTTTATTTTAAATTGATTTAATATATTTTAGTAATAAAAGATTATGCCTCAAAGTCAATCGCCCGTAACGTCTAGTGAATATCGAGAACGCGAAAGTACGAAAATTTGCGCAACGAAAGTGTGTTCATAAATAAATCTGACATATCGAGTTGGAAAAGTGTTAATTTTTAGCCAACATAGTGCGTAGCAGCAGCGATTGCTATACGTGGGATATAATAATATATTATATATTATTTATGTATTTAAATTTAAAATTCGTAGAGGTGCTCTGGTTTTTGTCATAGGTACTGTGCAATACATATTCAAGTGTAATGAACCCGTGCGCAATATTTATGAAGTGTCGTACAATGACTACTGGGGTACAATCTTTAAATATATACTTGTATATAATAGTAACTATGAGCTGAGCTTGTTTGTTTATTTTGAAACAATAATAATTTATTATCGGTAAAGGCCAAAATAAACTATGCCTGAATATAACCGTAAGAGTGAAGTTACATGATTGAACATAAGGAGAGGGCAATTAACATCGATATTAACCAAAATCTTAAAATGTGTTCAACGATGAAAAGTCGGACTTAATCGAAATTCGGCATAGGCAGGAAAAAATTGAGGAAATACGGATTGAGTACCATCAAGTACAGTCGGTAATGGATATGCTTGATTGGGTAAACGTAGAGGAACATTAAAATTATAGAGCTGATTTTGAAGACTCATACTTTAAAGCCATTACGATTGCAGAGAAAAGGCTATCTGAATTGAGTAGGGCAGTCAGTAACGCGTCAAACGCTGTTGTAGGGAACACAGCAGATCACCTTCAACAGTAGCGGTCCCAGTTATAAGATTAGCCCCCCTAGATATTCCTATGATTGAAGAATATAAGCAATGAACAACATTTTATAATATTATTTCTCTATTAATTCACATTAACGGCCAATGTCAATCGTTATAAGAAGTCAGGTTCTTCGGTTTGGTTGGTCTTCAAAATCATTTAGTTTGATCCTTTCCAATAAAATATATTTTTCATTAGATAGTTGTGTCAACATCTTCATTGTAAGACTCACCTTCATAAAATTCTTCATCATTGATATCATAAATAAATCGTTCAATACGATGTTTTACAATTTCATACATTTTAAAATGATGATAAAATTGATTAAACAACCGTTTTTGGGCGGTTCAATGTAATAAATACTATTATCAAGTCATTACAAAAGTAAACCGATTTAGTCATGACATGGAATAATTTGAAAAACGATGCACAATGCGGGATTCAATCCACCATCCAAGGCATTGTAGAGACAAACTCTATACACATATAATTTAGACACCGAAAAATAAATGTTAATAACTTTTTGTCCAAGTGAGGAAAACACGATATCTTGTCACTCGATATATCGAAAAATCGGTGATTTTTTGTATCGCTTACGGATATATACATTTTAATTACTTCACCCCTAGAATATGACCGATTAAACAAAAAAATGGAGGAAATAAAAAAAGTATCTCACTTTTAAGATATTTTCTTTTTATATTTTTATTTACCAATTTGCTGAGAGGAATAATAATCACAATATCAAAATCTTTTAGTTATAATTTTTTATAATCATATAAAATTCTGACTTCTTTATAATAACATTAAAATAAATATAATAGAATAAACTTATAGATGAAAAATAAAAAATATTCGAAATTTTTATTTAGTAGTTATCGGACTTAAAAGAAAACAATAAAATTTTTGAAAAAAAAAATCGCTATTATATATCATTATAAATTAAAGCTTGTTTAATGTAATACATATATAAAGAAAAAAATTCTTTTGATATCTTCTACTATGAGCAGAAGATAGTAGTCCACTATAAGTAATCAACTTCTATAATTAAAAACCGTTTAATTTTTGAGCCATATTTAAATTAAATAAATAATGAGAATATTATATAGGTATTCTTCTTTTTCCTCGCCTTTATCCCAACTACTTGTGGTCGGCCACCCTTATCCTAAACTTCCACTTGATACGATCTCCCACATTCTCTACACTCATATCAGATGTGCTCTATCGCATTCAATAACATCTCTCCATCTCTTTATTGGTCTTTCTATACCTCTTCTTTCTTCAACATAACTTCCTATAACTGTTCTTACAGCTTCCAATTCCTTTCTCTTTATAACATGACCAAACCATCTAAGTCTATTTTCTCTTATCTTATTTTATCTTATCTACGATTGACGCGGCACCTACTATCCCTCTTATATGTTCGTTACTTAACCTATCTTCTCTAATCACTCCATTCATACATCTAAAAATTCTCATCTTTGCTACACTCATTCTCTGCTCTATATTCTTGTCAACCGCCCAGCACTCTGAACCATACATCGTAGATGGTCTCACTGCAGTCTTTTAGAACTAACCTCAGCCTCATTGGAATTCTTTTATCGCAAACAATATTTTTCAAATCATTTATTAATTTGGTAGATGAACTTTCAATGAATTTTAACTAGGGAATATATTTTTCCAAGAAAATAAATAGTAAATTATTGTCGTTGACTGATATAATTATAAATAAAACATGAGAATTTAGTATGTGAACATTTTTCTCATGATTTTCACTTATCTTTAATTTTTTGAACAACTAGATAAAGTATATACGTACCAGCATGCAATAATGGCGTTACTGTAATGAATAATGAAACAAAAATGACTAAGACGATTGTAATTATTTTAAAATTTTTATTGTGCATGAAATAATAAACGTAAAATTACTTATTCTTTTCTTGTAATTGATATTTATTTTATTTTAAGTACATTGTATTAGTAGGTGTTGTGGAGTGGGATTATTAATTATTATAAATCGAACACTGAGTTTATATATATTAGCTTCAATGTGAAGCTGAGAAGATATACATTTTACTATAATGTGTTCATTTTTTTAATTTTTATACTTAAAATTTTTGTTTTTGAGTTCAGACCCTTGTTACATTACCATGTACTCATAATTTTTTTCTTGTAGCTCCAATGCGAAGATGAGAAGGTCTTACTATAATGTGTTTTTTTTTGGGTTGCTACCTTAGGTATTTTCCTATCATTTAGCATAATTTTTTTGGAAAAGGTTTTAACTGCTCACAATGGTAATTTGAAATTAACACTTTTGCAAAAAAAAATAAACTTTTGAAAATGTTCAGGAAATACTCACACCGTTACATATACAAGGTTTAAATAATTATTCCTTTGAAATTTTTTTGGGGGTCTTTTGTTATTTACACATATAAATCCATTTATCTGTTATAAAATATTTTTTATGTTCAATCCTTTTTTCTATAGGATTACCAACTTTATATTTCTAATTTTTAAGAGTAATTTATTCAACCAGACGTAATTTGTGACACTTTTACATATCGAAAAAAAATTTTATATGATATTCTGTCTCTACTGTATTTTAGTTAATTATTGAATTTTCATAAAAAACATGTAGTCATCAATGTTTAAAGTATTATTTATAAGTTCTTAATAATGCGTTATCCTTTAAAAGAGATGTTTCAATATAAAGGGACAACAAAAAATGTCAACATTGACTGTTTTGTAATCGTTACGTATCGTATCGTTTGATACGTTTTATAATCTTTTGGCGTATCGTTGCCAAAATTGTCTTAGAAAAGAACGTAAGGGAGTAATCGCGTGTACTGTTACAAAAATAATCGTACAAATAGCTATTGCAAACCAATAGTTTCTCACCTACGTATTGGAACTAAATATAAAAATGTTCCGTTGACTTGCCCTCTGTGAGAAATCGGGTTTTTAAGTCTAAAGTTAAGTAATTATTGTTAATATGACAAATGTTTAGATTCATTGCGTATATTAAAATTTATTGTATTTATTCCGTCGTGATTTTTTATATCTGGTACGTAAATACCTTTGCTCCTACAGGACCGATTTTGATCAGCGATACGTAAAGATCACAAAACGTATTTAGTTGAAGTTATTAACGCTATAATTTTTAAAAATTCCCCTCGTACGGATAATAAAGAATAATAATTGCAAAAATTACTATTGGCAATCGAAGTTGATATTTTTAGTTTTCACTTACATACATTCTTGTTGAAATAAATTTTTGAAAACTGGAAAGATTATAGCGAAAATTTCTATTGAAATTAAACTTCACATATTTGCTTTGCAAAGGAACATTATGCTTAAAAATCATTTTGAACTTTTGATAATGTTCCAAAAAACCTGACTTTTTTATTCTTATATCAAATTAAAGATATTTCAATATAATTTAAGATATAAAAATGAAAACTATTTTATAACAGATAAATGAAGTTACATATGTAAAACTAACAAAAGCCAAAAAAAAAAAAATTCTCAAATAAAAATTTTTTTTACAGAAATCGAGTGGTTAGTGTTAAGAGAATCACTTTGTATAAATCTTATATCAACTACGAAAACTCTGAGTCATTTTAATATGTACGTTAATAAGAATGCATAGTTTTTAAGGCATGGTTAAAAAAAGTATAATTCTTATGTAACGATAGTCTAACCTATATGGTTTACACACAAGAGCTGATATATTGCAAAATTCGGTTTCTGAGATTCTTTATTTTTTGTATAGAAAATTAATATGTTTATGTATTATATTGAAAGGTCCCACGTTGCTTTTTTATACACGAAGCTCAATGACCTGCGCCATGTAAGTCAGCCGTCTCCCTACTACGTGTATGTTATAGTTTGATTAATCAACTCCGCATTTCATACGCCACGTTAAAAAGTTCAGCAAGTGTCGCACGCCAACGACAACCCGCAACATATATACGAGAAGTCACCTTCTTGTGAGAACCTATTGAGTTTTGTCGACACCAGAGTACTTTGGCACACATTTCTCGCCGATATTAACGCGACTTATAACTAATTATATACACAGGCTGATTTTTTATCATAACCCATTCAATTATCCACAGAATATAAAATAATAAAAATAATATAATATCAACTTTTTTTCAAATAGGAACACATATTTTGAATTTAATAAAATGTTCGAGGTTTTATTTTAATATTAAATAGCAAATTATAATTTATTAAAGAAATAATTCAAATTAATAAATTTGTTTTTGCTGCTTTCCTATAAAATTGCTTAATTTATTTATTTTCAATATTTTTCTTTTAAAAACATATTATAAACAAACCCACTCTAGGTCAATAATGTCATACGATAATAATAATATTAATGGCTGTTAATTTAGAGTCTGTATTTTATTTAGGATAACAAAGCTATTTGTTGATACGCCTAGCGGAAAATAACGTTGCAGTAAAATAACCTCGAGAAAATGTCTAAAAATGATATGAACTTACTCAAATCAACTTTTTCTTTTCCTATTATTAAACAGTCAATAATAATAAAAATAATTAACAATGTTATAAGATACTAATTAAACATTTTTGTATAAAATGTATTGAAAATTCCCTCTTTACTAAATTCATGTACAGGTGTCTCAGATCTGAATACAATGCTTATAACTTTTAATCCAATTATCAATTCGTTGAAATTTTTTTTAATAATTATTTCTTTTTTAAACTTTGTTTAAAGCATACTTTTTATTGTTTACTACTAATGAGAAAAAAATTATTTTTTTTCACAATTTCAAAATAGTATATTTTTAGCCCTTTTTTAATAGATCAATAACAATTTTAGGAGAAGTGCTAGTCAAGTTATGAGAATTTTCAAAAATTGAGTGGTTAATAACCACCACTGGTTATACATCACAGGTCAGTGCTGATCGTATTTCTGTATGTACACTCCGCCCGTGTTCCATTTCCATTCTACACACTAATGTATATAAATTCTTATAACTCAACATGTACCTACCCTAAAAAAATCGTGAAAAATAAAAAGATAAAAAAATAATTTTTTTTCATAATAATGATAAATAGAGCATTGAATTATTTGCATTTATAATTTTGTTTGAGTCACTTTGAAGGATTCCAAGTTTTTGTTACTGTGTCATAGTAATACAAAAACCAAAAATACACTAACCACCTTTAATCACACAAAACTATAATATCGGAACAAATATATTACTAAGTTTTCAAATTAATTAATAAAAGTTAGTACTAGCTGATCGTGTTTAGCTTAACATCAATTAGGTTTTGCGCTCTACCCGCAACTTTAGAACCTACTCGCAGTTTTGCCTACATGGCTGAACTGCACTTATTTTCCCATCCTTTCCCTGCCCATGTAACATTAGGTTAAGAAAAACTTTTTTTGTGAGATAAGAAATTTTTGTGTTAACTTGGAGTTCAGTGTGTCTGTTATATTATTTTTTGTTAAGTTTTGTTTTAAGAACATATATTTTTAAATTTAAGATTTCTATCTTCATTTTGTGTAATTATTCGAACATAGTAAATTTCCTGCGATAGTTAATTGTTTAATTTAGTTTTTGTGTAGTATTGTGTTCTAAGTTTTTTTACAGGTGCTTGTCTCAGTTGAGCAGTGCGCATATTTCTTTTACTGTTCTGTCAATTTTTTATTTGATTTGTATTACTTTTGAATAATTATTGAAATATTTATTTATCAATGTCATTGCTGTTATTGTTTATTTATTTTTAATGCAGTTCTGTAAAATTGCATTTTATTATCAAATTATTTGTTTTATTTTTTCTTAGTTTTGTTTAAACATCTATTGTTACTTGGCCATTTCACTCCCCTGATTAGTGTAAGCGAACCCTCCCTCTTTAGGGTACTTGCGTTCTGGTTAGAAGATCCTAATTTTTCCTTATACAGTCCACTTATAACATAGTCATAGGTATCGGGATAGCAGCATAAAACTCCCTCCCTAACAGATGTTATGTTCGGATTAACTTAATTTTATAAATACATAAAATTCACAGCTCTGATGATAAATAATAAAACATATTCTTTTAACGTAGTCTAACTTGTAAAACGAAGATATAATAGAAGGAGTTATGGTTTGTCTATGAGCGCAGTTAAAATAATGTTGATACATTTTTTAGTATTACAAAATAGTGTAGTTAGTGTGTTAAAACTGCGATGATACTACTATATTGTCACGGTAAACGGTTAACTTAAGAACGCTCTCACACTATATTATTTCCGTGATAATCCTAAACTACTTCTAGCAAAATGTCCATTTACAAAACTTATATTTGCACAAGCGCATATAAAGACAGACAATGCATGGAGGAACACAGATCTTGTTGTAACATGCCACTCAGGTCATTAAATGACACACATCAACTTCAGATATGTCTTAAAGTATGACCCCTGCCACTAAGTCTTATTAAAGAGTCAGTTTGTGATTTCTTATTTAGACATACTCACATAGAAAGAGCAAAAAATAAAAAATTTCCCCGTGGTATCGTTCGTTCTTGTGTTCAATCCATGTCTTAATGAAGACAAGTATTGAGATATAATTTTTACAAACGTTGCTCACGGCCAGCGACTAAATGGCCAGAATGACCATTGATTAGGTCAGTATACTTATATGTTTGAAAATAAATTTTGTATTGTAATGGATGTATTATACTTTTGTGTGGTGAGTATTTGATGAATAAGTTTGATTTGTCTTTTCTCAGTGAATCCATCCACTAAGTCATCCACTTTTTATCATAACTGTATAATAAAAACAAGAGCGAAATATGCTTTTGAACCAGTATGTTATTTCGTGGTCTTTGTAACACAAGAATTATTGATTTTTTATAAATGTTCCAGAAAATAATATTATAAACATTAATTATTAAAAAAAATCTCATCAAAATTAGAATTTCTGAGACAACCCGTATATCTTAATAATAAATATCCAACTATTTGATAATTATCATATAGTTGTATATTTATTATTCGTACGTTTTGATAAATATTTGAATAGTTCATAAAAACTATTCCATTAATTAAGTATTTAATATACGTTAAGTTTTTTTCAACTAAAAAAATGTTCAGTAAAATATTAAGTTATAATTATATAGTTCAAACAGTTAAATTATGTCTATCATTTGTTAAAATATTTATTTAAAATAATGATCTATTATTATTAGATAGAATTTTGCAATGTTAATATTCCAAATTATGACAACGTTCCGAATTAATTTAACAATTCATTAGATCTGTCATAGTTTCTCAGATTATACATGAAAAAACTAAATAGGTTTGAGAAGTTCAAAAACGATTTGAGATTTCTTTTTTATAAAATAGGTTGTCATTAATTTGTAATAAATTATAAAATCAGTTTAATGATTATTAATACTTAAGACGTACAACTAAACGTTTGATTATCTTAAAAGTTTCTATATAAAAATATATTATAAACATTTATAATATGGAAATTTAATTTAAAATCGTTAAATAAAAATCACTATATTTATAGTTAACATCTTAAAGTTAAATACTTTACGATGTAGTATAAAATAATGATAAAAATTTTTAAAAAACATATCATGTTAAAACGTTTTATTATATAAATAAACTAAAAAATATATATAATCATACCTTTATTTTTATTTCCTGTTAATTATATAACCAAACATTGAAATAATTAAAAATAATAATAATTATTTAATAACAAGTATCTTATAATTTGAAGACCATTAAAAACTATAAATATACAGATCTTTTAGATCTAACTGATAGCGATTATACCTTTTAATACAATTTATATTTTGTTGAAATTAAAAAGAAAATTATTTTTGACTACGTTTATAGCATATATTTTTGTAAAAAAAAAGGCTAAAAATGACAATTTAGAAAAAAAAGAAATATAATATATATATTAATTTTTGTTTAAGTGAAAAATTATAAAAATATGCGTTCATAATAGCTTATAAAGACAATAATTATTTTTAAAAATTTCATTGAATTAAAATGAGATTAATAGTTGTAAGAGTTAGTTAGTTCACTCAGTATATACGTTTGCCTTTTTTCATTTTAAAATATGTATTTCGAGAATGACTAAAAAATTATATATATAAAAACAGTTTACGTCAAATAAAGAAAATAATCGGGTCAGATTAAGAGTTAATTAGAGTTGACACAATTTACTTACTTGAACGAAATATACCTTAATCATACAATAAAAAAAAAAACAAAGTAAATAATCATTTTGCGATTTATCAATACGATATTAAAAAATTATAAAATCGAATTAAAAACTAATTATTTTTTTTAAATAGCGTATTAGTTAGGCAAAAAATATAATTTTGTATTAATATATTGTAAATAATATATTTTAATAGTATTACCCTTAGACAGTGCAAAGAAAAATACCAAAATTGTAATAGATATTAATTTTGATTTCTGAAAAGTAATGAAAATGTGTAATGACTTTATTTAATTAAAAATTAATTTGTAAAACGCATACCATTTTCAAATAAAAAATGTAAATTAAACAAATAAAATTTATAAAAGAAATCAAGATCTATAGTAGATAAAGACGTAATATATTCAAAATTTATACTACTTTTGGTTAAATTTTATTGAAATAGTTGTATAATAATGAATTTATACACTACTTATTTGATTATTACATATTTAATTTATAGTATATTTAGATTGTCAATAAAACTTTACACGTGTGTTTTATATACAAATACATATTCCTTAGATTAATTAAATATAATCGCATATCAAAATAAAATTTATTTATTTACGTCCAGTAGACTATGTAATAGATTTACTACAAAATTGTATATAATTGGAACAACTAAATTAACAGTTATAAAACTTACTCATAACTATAATAAAACGCAAAAATAAAAAAAAACGATAGCACAGTGGGATTACGGCACAGTGTAGACGTCGTATAGATGGGACAAGTATAGATGAAGTCTGATAGTGATTAAAATCACATTTAAAAGAAAAGCTTCGATGCAAATCGATAAATATTATTTTATTAGTATTTAGTGGATAGTATTTAATTTTAAAATATTGATGGATTATTCCAAAACCAAAACTGACTCCTATTTCCTTCATTATTCCTAATAAATAGTTCTATTATTTATAAATATAATATATGAATAAGTATTTATTACAGCAATTAAAATAGTATCAAATTGATATTTAATAATTAAGTATTTATAGTACTTTATACGGAAAAATTATAAAGTAGTTGTTACTTTTATATAAATAATAATTTAAAACCATTTAATAAATGGTCTACAAGGAAATTTCAAACTAAGTAAAAAAAAATGATTTTCTAATTGCAATTTTTCAAATCTGCAATTAGATTTTTTCCATCACTACTAATTTTTGATATTACTAATTAGTTAAAAACGATTATCAAAAAAATATAGATTAATAATGTATTTAATGAGATATTGGTTGTAATAATTAAAGAAAATTGGTCAAGTGAAAGCTACGAAAAATTATTGGCAGATACAGATATAAAAAACACAATAAAATAATTTTAATATGAATAAGAAATTCTTTTTTACGAGGAAAGACGAATCGCGGTAAAATTAATACATTCTCGGTTTCGTATCGGAGTTTAAATGCGATATTTTACACAAAAATTACATTTTTTGTTAAATTTCAATGGCTTTTTTAACATTCACTGATTGAACACTGACCATCGATCAGTAGTCAGTTCCCCTTATATTAGGAATAATTAACAATTAAGGATATAATTAACATGAAATTAACAGTATTAATGGTTACTTTTTAAACATTAGTATAGTGCTTTCTAGTGTTACACTAAATTCCTTAAAACTAATATTTATAATAATGGGTTTACGACAGAATAAAAGGGATATATAAAAAAAATTGTATTGATTCATACATTTTTCAAAGAGACAAAGCAAATTATAGTTGAAAATAAAAATCAAAAACACAAAAATAACATGCTTTTAGCTACAACAGCTATTTTTGAGGTTAATTTCTTCAACTAGATACGATTATTAATCTTTTGATGTATCGTTGAAGAAAATCGCTCTAAGAGTTTGAAAAAAAGTAGTTACATACACAAAAATATAATAAATAAAAATAAACAATTCATGGTAAAATTAATACCTTCAAGCTTCGCATTGAAGCTAAAAAAAAACATAAAACTAGCTTAAATAACTTGGAACGCCAAAAACACGTTCGAAGAAAAACACCATATTGCCACTCATCCCTGCCAACATTATTATTTAGTTGTTATAATTTTTGGTCATAGGTGATCTGATTGCCAAAGTAGAAGAATTCATATCTGTGAGTTATAAGAATTATAGAGTGTTGTTATGCATACCACGCTCCTTACCTTTCTAAATCTTTAAATGCTAATATCTTACAGTGTAATTACACAAATGTGGTTGTCGATCAATCAAAATTTCAATTATTCTCCATTTAATAGTAAAAAAAATAATGTAAGGTTCCTATTTAACAATCGAAAGTTACCTTTAAAATCTAATTAGGAATAATTTTTTCTTTTATAAACTTTACATTTACAATGGTATACAGGGTGATTTTTTTTTCATAACCCACTCAATAACTTACAGAATAATAATAATTTAAACATTTTTTTTTTTTATTATCTTTAGTTACACATTATTTTTGAATTATTAACTATGTAATACTTTTTAAGTTCATCCCTTATGCCTGGTAAGCGTGTCAACTTTGTTTTTTTAAATGGTAACACATATTTTTAATTTAATAAAATGTTTGAGTTTTTAATTTAATAGTAAATGGCATTTGAATTTTTAATATAACTTTATTAGCTTATTAGATATAAACATTTAAAGTTTCAAAATTTTGAGTTAATATACATGTATAATACATATGGGATTATAAATACAGGTAGCTAATTGGATTTTTATGACATTGCTGTCTCAGTCACGGATTGCTTATTATCAATTATGACTATCAATAGATATACTTTTTGTATTGTCAGTTAGTGTATTTATAAACTCATAACAATGTACCTTACTACCATTGATAATAACAATGCTGTGTACCTGCTAATATCGATATCATAAAAAACCAATTAGCTATCTATATTTGTAATCCCTTATGTATTATATCTGTATATTAACTCAATCATTTGAAACTTTAAATGATTATATCTAATAAACAAATAAAGTTATATTAAAAATTCAAATGCCATTTACTATTAAATAAAAAATTTAAACATTTTATTAAATTAAAAATATGTCTTACCATTTAAAAAAACAAAGTTGACACGCTTACAAGGCATAAGGGATGAACTTAAAAAGTATTACATAGTTAATAATTCAAAAATAATGTGTAACTAAAGATAATAATAAAAAAAAAAATGTTTAAATTATTATTATTCTGCAAGTAATTGAGTGGGTTATGATAAAAAAATCACCCTGTATATA